GGGTAACACAGTCCAACTGCTTACTATGAGTCCACAAGTCGCAGCCTCTGGCTCAAGTGTGCAGAGCCGACGTTATGTATTTGGCTTTGGCGGTAGCGGTATTGGCAGTCTCGCGGTGCATCCGTCTCGGAAGTTCTTCGCAGTGGGTGAAAAGGGAGTGAAGCCCAACATCTCCATCTATCGCTACCCGGAACTAACGGTATCTCATGTATTACGGAATGGAACGGAACGCGCTTATGCCAGCGTGGAATTCAGCCAGGACGGCGAAACACTGGCATCTGTGGGCAGTGGCCCCGATTTCCTGTTAACAGTGTGGAAGTGGCGCGAGGAGCAGACGGTTCTTCGATGCAAAGCATTCGGACAAGACGTATTTAGTGTTCGTTTTGCTCCGACGGACAGTGGATTTCTCGCTACCAGTGGCGTCGGACACATCCGCCTCTGGAAGATGGCAGCCACTTTCACTGGTCTCAAACTACAGGGTGACATTGGGAAGTTCGGCAAAAGTGAGCTCAGTGACATCGAAGCTTTTTGCGTGCTCCCCGACAAAAAAGTATTGAGTGGCACGGAACGCGGCGTACTTTTGCTATGGGATGGCAATTTTATCAAGTGTGAGATCATGACATCCCGACGCCATCTTCCCCATGCCGGCACGATTAATGTTGTGGATTTCGATGAAGATGAGGACCATATCGTGACAGCAGGAAAAGATGGCTACGTGCGGTTTTGGAGCTTCGATTCCATTGACAGCGCGGATGTCCCGGCTGATGAGACTGTCGCTCTTGTCCCTATGAAGCGTCAGGTGCTGGTGATGCCTCAAATGGATATTCGTGCTGTGGTGAAGCAAGACACAGGTCGGTATCTTTTGCAGGATGGCGTCGGTGGTGTGCATTTACTGTTGCTTATCAACAATGATGAGCATCTCGTCGAGATGGACTATGTCCCCAACGACACGGGTCGTGCGACGGGGATTGCGTGTTCACCTTACGAGCATCTCGCAGCTACTTGTGGCGAAGATGGCGGTGTTCGTGCGTGGGATTATGTTTCCGGCACTTGTCTGATGGCTGTGTTTCCAGAGCTGCCATGCATCGAAGATCAAGACAATGGCGGTGAATACACGGCACTGGGAGCCGCTACCACGATTGCATGGGTGCCAAAGAGTGCTGCGGTGATTAATGATATCTTACCAGCGAGCAGACAGGTAGCAGTGGGCTTTGATGACGGTTTGGTGCGCATCCTACTAATGGACGTGGATCATCGTGCATGGGTACTCGTCAACGTATTCAAGCCACACAGCAAGCGTGTAACGTGCGTGGCGTATTCACACTCGGGTTCTTCTTTTGTGTCGGCTAGTGCGGATGGAACTTTCTTCCTCTTCCACGTCGTGCCCAATATCAAGTCATCCAAATTTGTTAAGTACCAGTCGGAGTACGAGCCTTACGGATTCCAGCGCGTACCAGCATCCGTGGTTGCTATTTGCTGGCGTGATGATGACGAGGCAGTTCTTGTCACACTAGCAAACGGTCAAGTTTTAGAATATTTCGTGCCCGGTGATCTGGACGGGAATACTGGGGGAGACACTGAGAGATCGGACACTACGACTACTGACGAGTCTATGTTTCAGCATGAAGCCTCTGCTGCAGAACGAGAATCGTTTGAGCTCCAGTTATCATCTCGTGAGTGGATGCTGAAACACAGGAACCGGTTTATGACTGTAAAGGAGCTAGAAATACTCGAGGCTCAATACCCAAACATTAGTTCTCCCGAGACGGAAGACAAAGTCCGTAACCAGTTCCAGGTAGAAGTCAAACCTGCGAATGGTAGAGCAAAGGCGTTGGCGGCTCTCTATACGCCAATGACAGAGCAAGACACCGAAGATCGCATCTATCTCAGCTGCCAAGCACCACTAGATGGTACGCTCTTCGTGGTTGAGCACGATCAGTCTACGCCGCTACAGGAGCTCGCGTCGGAGTCTGCTGGACAAATTACTTCACTCGCATTATCAACGTCCGAGCGATTCATCCTGTGCGGGTTATCGAACGGTAAATTCCAGCTTCGGAGCTCACGTAGACCTCACGCGTTCATTAGTAGTGAATTCCATGACTACGCACCTTCCACTAGCAACGACAAGCTGCATCTTGCAATGTCTTATGACGATTCGTATGTAGTCGCAGTTGGAAGTGACGGGAATCTGAGCATTTGCCGAATACACAGCAACAGAGTCGAGGAAGCGTCCAAGTTGTTTGCTGGGAAGTATGAGAGTGTCCTGGCTGAGGCTGATATCGCGCGTGACCAGGCTCGTGAGAAGCAAGAGTCAGTGCTGACAATGCAGCGGAAGGCGATGGAGGAAAAAGGCGAAGATGATCCTAGTAACGGCGGAGGCGCAGCAAGTACTGACTTGAGCGCGTTGCCTGCATTCCACGGAGCTAAAGCCTACGCTGCTTACATCGAGAACAAGCTGTCGCCTAGCGTTGCTGCTGCTAAGGATAAGGAAGAGTTCCTTGGTGTTATCCGTTTTGCGAGTGACGAGAAGAGTATCGATGGTCTCCCCAAGGCAACCTCACCGATTCGGGATGACGGTTCAAAGCCGCAAACTGGAGTTCCTGCCACAGCCTTGTTACAGTTAAGTGTGGAAGATATCACAAACTCGAAGGAAGCGTACACAATCGAGGATGCAAAACTGAAGAGTGAGGCTGATGCCAGAGCGAGGTCAACGCTAAGTAAACAGGACTCCACACGTGCTGTATTGAGTCAAATGCGCACTCAACTTCAAGAACTTCAAGCACAGGATGCTGCACTACCAGTTCAAAGTCGTGTCGATCCGGAGGAGTGGGAAATCGATCTGGACTATGGAGATCTGCTGACCAGACAGGGCGATGAGGCGTGCGATGAAGTGCGCAAGGAACTTGCATTCGCGGTGGAGAAAGAAGAGCTGTTACTGCTCAAGATGCGTGAAACCTACGTCGGTCCGCTAGCTGTAGAGCTGCTGACGTTGCGTGCATTTGAGAGTGGATTGAGCGTCCAGTCCTTCCGCACAATGAAGATGCCGGCAACTCTACAGAAACGACTGGCTGAAATCCACACTGCTGACGCTGCTGCCAAAAAACAATCATCGACAGGAGCGAAGGCCGGTCCAACAAGGCGAGCGTCAGTACTGGATATCATGGAGAAGGATACAGCGTTGGATGAGGACTTCCCCTTGAAAGAGGACGAACGGCGTAAGCTCATGTGTCACAACGATCCTGCTGTCGGTGGTAATGGAGCAACAGGTTGGTCGGGCGGTCCGTCGACAGTGCAGGAGACAGGTGGGTCGAAGTCCGTTCACGGCTTCGAAGCACGCAAACGACTACGCACGGAGCGAAAGGAGAGGCTAGCACGCTGGCAAAGCAGTAAACCAGGCGAGGATGCTGACGATCCGAGGGACGTTGTTGCTATCGCCTTCGCACAGCGTAATATGGGTGACTACAAACTGAAAACTTCTGCAGACTACGTGGTTCCAGAACACCAACGCGTCAATGCAGTGAAGAAACTACGACAAATGGCTCTGCTGGAAGAGAGTTTGTATGCTGCACGCCTGCGCTTCAATGCCAAAGTGCTTGAACTTCGTGAGTTGAAGGTGCAGTTGATTAATGAGCTGCATCGCGACCAAGAGCGACTAGTCGAGCTCCGTGCCGCACTAGCTTCAGGCGGGTCAACATCTGCTAAGACATCCACAGATCTAGTTGTTGACCTTCGCGAGTGGCCGGAGCAGCGAGAGCGTGTAAGCGATGCCGATATTGAGCTCTTCTTGCGTGAGAAGAAGGTGATATCGCACGCGCAGACTCAGACAGGGGAGACGGACTTGTCACTGTCACGCACAGGCGGAGCTGAAAAGCACCCTCAATCATTAGATCGATCTATCGCTGCTGTCGCTAGAACTCTTGAAGGAACTCTAGGAACTGAGGCAGCCACTGGGATCACTATTGGACATTTGCGTTTGCAGATGGATGAAGCCACTGCGGTGGCTACTGCTACCGCTGCGACTGCGTCGCCACCCACAGGTGGTCCAAATGGAGGAAATATGGACGAGGATGACGTCGTTATCCATGAATACTTGATGCGCCAAGAAGCACTACTGCTAGAACGGAAGCAACAACGTGAGATAGCAGCGTTTGATGCTGCGGTAGCGCATCTTCGTCGCGAGAAACTAACTCTAGAGGCTGGTTTTAAACAAGCGGAGCTTCGGCTGTTCACTCTTTTCAGCGAGTTGTCGCTCCTTGAGTCGTTCGAGAGCAAAGAGAACTTGTTGAGCAGTAAATTGGAGAAGAACAAAGGAGAAAAGGCTCAGATTGTGGCGGAACTGCGCGATGTACAAGACCTGCTAACGATTAAGAAGCGCGATCTCGACGAATGGGCGAAACAGGAGAAAGCAGTGCAAGCAGAGTTCCTTACTCTGGTGAATGGAGGAACGGGATCCAGTGCTACGCCTCACCCGAGCTTTGCGGCGCTGCAGAAGCTGTTTAAACGCAAGATCAAGCGAGCCAAGAAGAAGCCAACGACGGGTGGAAAGGAAGACGGGAAAGAGCCTGACAGTGCAAGGGATGGCGAGGAGCAGGAGGAAGGAGAGGAAGAAGATGATGATGATGAAGACGAGGACTACGACGAAGATGACGACGACGATGATGAAGAAGAAGAGGATACATGCCCCACCGGATGCGACTTGACACTGTACGAGAAGGTGCTGGCGTTGCGTGAGAAGCGTGCTGATGTAGACGACGCGATGGGTGAGCTGAACAAGGCGATCGAAGAGCTTCGCAAGGCAGGAGAGCGACAGGCAGCCAAGCAACGTGCGATTGACAAGGAACTGGCTGCGACGGAGCAGGATACGCAGCAGTTCCAGAGTGAAAAGCAGTCGCGCTTCAACCAGTTAGACGTCGTGGTGCCGCTCAGTACGCGGCAACTACGTTGTCTTGAGCCTCCGTCTCCGAACCAGCAGAATTGGGCTCTGCCCGCTCAAGCTGCTGGCTGCCTCGTGTTCACCACCCGCGCTTTCTCTGCATTATCAGAGCGGATCGAGTCGTTGCAAGCCGAGAACAAGCAGCTACGTCAGCAATTCCGTGATCTTCACAAGCAGCAGAACGTTCTTGCTCGAGAGAAACGCCAACAGCAAGAAGCCATTGCGCGAGCTCAGGATCGCAGCGAGCAGCTAATGCGACTTAAATTCGGACAGCTAGTGGATCTGGAGGTGCTGGATCGCGCTTGTGACGCGTCTTCGGTGGACGAATTGCAGACTCGCGTCAAGCTGCGCGAGGTTGAAGGTGAGCGAACACTGCGTCGTGCCAAACAGACACACCCACAACTTCAGCACGCCATTCTACAGGCGACCGAGCAGAACACTGCCTTGTTAGCACAGATCGCTGCGCTTACAGAGCGTCAGGCTGAACTGGAACGCGAACTCAATCGCCATCAGGGTGGTGGAAGTAGCAGTGGAGATGGTGGTGGGGTGCTCAGTATTGACGACGACGAGGCGTTAGCAGAACGTGAGATGAAGGAACGCAACAAGCTCGTGAGACTCGTCAAACTACAGGCTAGAGAAGTTGAAGCGCTCAAACAGGAGATCGGACTGCTACGTGGCAAGGATGGCAAGGTGTATGCGCCTCGCGTGTAAAGCTCGTTCTGATACAAAAATTAAGCACTTTTAAAAAGTGCTTTTAATTTTTTGCGTATTGAAAAAGACTTTTTTTCATCCTCTTATTATTACCAAAAAAAAACAAATACTACGCATTAATACTACCAGAAAAATGACAGTCCCTGCTAGATTCATCATAACCACGAAATGAAAGCCGCCATGTACTTTCAGTACAACTATAATGAACAGTTTGTGGGTCATAACATTGGAAAATATGTATAGTGAGCTCTGCCACCGATGAGACTTACAGCTATCTTCGAGAAGGATTTTATCAGTCGATACAATGTCCTACAGAATGTCGAGGTTCTCTGCCAATATATACATTACGGAAATGACGCGTGGTGTCGGATCGCGTCGAACATGCGTTGCAGTGAGTTCACTCGCTTGTAGGCCTCGTACGCTTCACGGAAACCGTCGCCATAGACCGGCGATATGTCGTTCTTGAGTTGGTGCATGTAAAACTTTCGCAGTCGACCCTGGTACGTGCGCTTCTTGGAGTTTTTGCGTTCCATCATGTGCTTGTACTTCAAGAACAAGTAGCTCATCAGTTGACAAATGCCTTCTTCGACCTGATCCACGTAAACCCCAATTCAGTCAGGAACAATCATCACCACTTCAACAGCACAAAACACATACCTTGGGAGGGATATGGTCAGGGAAGTTGTCGCTGAGTTTGATGTAAGCGTGGGTGGCTTCGTGTGCCAGAACGGAAGCCGTAAGGTCGTACGGTAGTCCATGCAGAATCAGGATCGCGTTCACTGAGCGTTTCTGTGATACAATCCAAAGACGCTTGATTAGTCCCTATCTATGTTTCACATTTTAAGACAAAAGATCAACCTTTTCGATGGAGGCCACTCGAGGAACTGCGTGCTTGCCAGAGCGGACCATATGCTGGATCTGGGAGACCTCGGACAAACAAAGACCACGAGTCACATGGCCTTCCACGGGCTTGTTTCCTTTCATCAGGGTTTTGGTCTTCTTGTGGGCGTTGCACTGTTCGTTCAGAACCGGAGACTCCACCAGGTACACTGGGATCTACAAATCAAATTCGGCGTTAGTACTGAAGACCACCACTGGCATTACTACAAAGACACCAACTGACAAACCTCGGGTAGATGAATGCCGATATCTCGCATGTATGTCCACACCTCTTTCACCACGCCCTGAGCCTGTAGACAACAGCCAGGTTATACATCTTAAACCCAAAAGTAATATCTTGTAAAGCCGCCATAAAGTACCTCGAGGGAATCAAGCACCAAATAGTTGCAGCAATCGTGGCAAACCTTGCGCCCGTCACTGAGTTTGTGGAACTCCCGTCCAGGAACAGTCGGCTGATACAACAAGTAGATGTCAACAAATCTAGCTTCAAGCTCTAAGCGATTGGTCTGTACGAACCTCCACACGCTGGCAACTGCAGCAGCGATCACGGTGTTCATGCTCGGCGCAGTACTTGAGATCCCCGAAAGGCATGACCTGCAGGAACGAAATGAATCCATGAATCGTTCCAATCCTCAACGGATTGATACATTTAAGATTCTATCGTACCTTGTACGAAATCTTCTGTGTGCCTGGTTGGTACGGAATGAATCCTTCGCACACGTCGCAGCTGTAATTGAAGTTGAATATAACCACATTATCAGTATGTTGTGCCTTAGACAGCAGAGTGTTTGTCACGTACCGCGGGTGGTAGAGCTGTTTGTAGCACTCGTGGTGGTAGTACTCTCCGTCCTTGACTTGGAACTTGCTCGTTGTGAACTTCCCATTGCATGCAGCGCAACGGAAACAGTCTGGGTGGTAGGCCTTGCCATCCACATTGACGCGTTGTCCAAATCTGTGTCAACCCAAACAAGTTAGTGCACAATCTTCGTTTTCGAGAATAAAAGCACCAACTCACTTGATTTCACCCTTGCATCCAGGACACTTCATGATGCGGATTGCATCACAAGCTGCACAGGTAGGCGCGGCATCGTTCGTGTTGAAATACGTGCAGCTGGGGCAGTTCCAGCCTCCTCCGTTCCCATTGGACTTGGCATTGCCGTTCGACTTGACGTTCGCGTTCTTACTGCAGTTCTCCTTCTGCACAGGACTGTTGTACTTGCCGTTCTGCACTGGCTTGCCACCTCCCATTCTAGTCGTGGTGGTGGTTTTCGTGATTGGCTTGGACTTCGGAGCGCATTCCGGATGGTAGTTGCCACCATTGACAACTTGGAAGCGACTGGGCAGCGGACGTTTGCATCCCGTGCAGCAGAAACAGTCCGGATGGTAGGTTTTGCCGTTCACATGAAGACGCTTGCCATATCTGCAGCAATAGAATGAAAAAAGGTGATGAGAAATGCACTGATCTGAGGCGAAGAAGAAGAGCAAACTTACTTGATCTCGCCCTTGCACGTGGGGCATTGAAGCACACGGATGGCATTGCAGGCCCCACAGTTGGCGGCCGAGTCGTTGGCGTTCAGGAACGTGCACTGCACGCAGGTCCAGCCCATAGCTGCAGACTGTCGACTTGTTCTTGAGCCGGTAAATTCGGAAGTGGGTGTTGCTGACTGATTTGCTGTGAACTTCATTATGGCATCAGATCCTCAGATCTGATACTGACACACTATCGAAAAGAATATGATATGCCGTTCCGCGACATGCGTGCACTTCCAGAAACTGCCAAGATCACTCTGGAAAAATGGTGCGTGGTCCGTCAGCGTATCATGCGTAGCGAGGCTCTTAGAGGCTCCACGCAGTGGGTGAGTGTAGTGAGTGTGTTGTCAGGGACTGACACGTTTGCTCGCGCTGTGAATGGTCGCTTTCTGCCCGCATAGAGCTCCTCAGAAGCATCCAAGAACGCCAACGCCAACTCCGCATCTAATGCCCCGACAGGCGGCCCTACGGACGGCCAGGATCTCACAGTCTTCGTGCGTGATCAATTGCTATTGTTCTAATTGTGTATGTGCTAATTGCTGCGTGTTGGTGCTACTGGGCTGCCGCAACAGGTGCAAAGTCTGCTGGAGCAAATGGTGCGTGTCTTACTAAAGTTGCAGCGTTTGCTCTGAAGCTGCAGGTGCTGACAGTATGAATCTTTTTGTCTATCGTCTCTACAGCAATCGCGATTCGCACAGATGTCGGACGCCATCATCGGAAGAAATATCCTTTTCACAAATTCATCATTGCATGTTCTTGGCAGATAGCGATGAGAATATGTGTGTTGGGTTTCCTTGACTGTTTCGGTGTGCGCTTTGCTGCTGCGATGGAAATGCACTCGACGAAATGGGATCGCGTATCGACGAGCTAGAGAAATCCATCGCAGACCTCATGGAGCAGGTAACAACTACAGCCATATCGTATGATACTACAAAGGAATTTGACTGATGTCGTGTACTTACAGACAAACGAAGATGGCAGCGACAAGAACCAGGAGCCGACTAGCGAAGCTGCGGCTGCCAAGGACAAGGTCGAGAGTGTGTAAAGTGGATACCAGTTCTCTTCAAGACAGCAACATCTTTCTTCAAGCAATATCAACACACACACGACGCATTTAAATTCGCTTTTGCTTTGATTTCTCGTTTGCAAACAGTAAATTACTTGTCGGCATCTTCCTACATGTGTCCATCTAATAGAGAAAACCAGAACGAAAGCAGCAAAATACTAAAAGGCCAACGAGGACACTTGCCGTCGTCTAAAAGGTCGCTCGCCATCCAAGACGCGCTTAGTCCTTCTTGTCCTTGAACTCAGCGTCGTGCACGTTCTCGTCCTTGTCGTCGCTGGACGCACCCTCGCCCTGCTGCGACTTGTAGACAGCCTCACCGATCTTCATCGACATCTTCTGCACCTCCTCAAGAGCAGCCTTGATCTCCTCCGTGTTGTCGCCCTCCGACTTGGTTCGCAGGTCGGCAAGAGCAGCCTTCACCTTCTCCAGGGTCTCAGCGTCAATCTTGTCCTCGTGCTCCTTCAGCGTCTTCTCCGTTGAGTACAGCGTCGAGTCAGCCTCGTTCTTGGCCTCAATCAGCTCCTTACGCTGCTGGTCAGCGGCGGCGTTGGCCTCAGCGTCAGCAACCATCTTCTCGATCTCAGCCTCGGACAGACCGCCGCTCGACTGGATCACAATGTTCTGCTCCTTGCCCGTGGCCTTGTCACGAGCACCGACGTTGACGATTCCGTTGGCGTCAATGTCGAAGCTCACCTCAATCTGAGGGACACCACGAGGGGCAGGCGGGATGCCCACCAAGTCGAAGTTGCCCAGCAGCTTGTTGTCGGCAGCCATCTCACGCTCACCCTGCAGCACCTTGATGCCCACCTGAGTCTGCGAGTCAGCAGCCGTCGAGAACACCTGCGACTTCTTGGTCGGGATGGTCGTGTTACGCGGGATGAGCTTGGTGAACACACCGCCCAAAGTCTCAATACCCAGAGACAGAGGAGTCACATCCAGCAGCAGAATGTCCTTCACGTCACCACGCAGCACGCCACCCTGGATAGCAGCGCCCATAGCCACGACCTCATCCGGGTTCACGCCCTTTGAGGGCTTCTTGCCGAAGAACTCCTCCACCGTCGTCTGCACCTTGGGCATACGCGACATACCGCCGACCAGAATGACCTCGTTGATTTCGCTCTTGTCCAGACCAGCGTCCTTGACGCACTTCTTGCAGGGGCCCATAGTACGCTCAATTAGCTTGCCCACCAGCTTCTCGAAGGTGGCACGCGTGATCTTCATGTTCAAGTGCTTGGGGCCGGTAGCGTCGGCCGTGATGAAAGGCAGACTGATGTCCGTCTGGGCCAGACCATCAAGCTCACGCTTGGCCTTCTCAGCGGCCTCACGCAGACGCTGCATGGCCAGGTTGTCACCCGACAGGTCGATGCTCGTCTCCTTCTTGAACTCGTCCACGAGGTAACGCAGCAGCTCCTCATCGAAGTCCTCACCGCCAAGCAGCGTGTCACCGTTGGTCGACTTGACCTCGAACACACCGCCCGAGATCTCCAGGATCGACACATCGAAGGTACCGCCACCCAGGTCGAACACAGCAATGACCTTACCGTCGGCCTTGTCCATACCGTAGGCCAGAGCAGCAGCCGTAGGCTCGTTGATAATACGGAGCACGTCCAGACCGGCAATCTTACCGGCGTCCTTGGTAGCCTGACGCTGCGAGTCGTTGAAGTAGGCCGGGACCGTCACGACGGCCTGGGTCACAGGCTTGCCGAGGAAACCATCGGCGGTCTCCTTCATCTTAGTCAGCACCATGGAGCCGATCTGCGAGGGCGAGTACTTCGTGCCCTTGGCCTCGACCCACGCGTCCTTGCCGTTGTTGCCCTTAACAATCTTGTACGATACGACCTTGGACACCTCCTGGGTCTCCTTGTCGTCGAACTTACGGCCGATCAGACGCTTGACGGCGTAGAAAGTGTTCTCCGGGTTAGTCACAGCCTGGCGCTTGGCGGGCATGCCGACAAGACGCTCGTCGTTGTCCAGGATGGCCACAACCGAGGGCGTCGTGCGAGCACCCTCCGAGTTCTCAATCACACGCGCGGTCTTGCCCTCCATGACGGCCACGCACGAGTTGGTCGTACCCAGGTCAATACCGATGACCTCCGAGCCAGCGGCGGCCGAGAACATGCGCTTGGCAGCGGCAGGGGCGGGGTTGCGAGCGGCGAGACGCAGCATATTTCTATAAGGGTCCGGGAATCTGCGGTTGAGGGGAAATGCGCAAATTTGCGATTGAAGCCCCGTCAAAAACCTTGTCAAAGGGCCTCGTCAGCCACTCGCTGGGCCATACGTACTTGAGCTTTGGGGTCTCAAATTACTGTCGCAGCCCGTAATCTAGAACATACCGTCTTCAGTTTATAGAGCAAGTGTATAAAACGTCAAGGGTCCTTGGACTATTTTATGCTGACCTTATGTTTCAATATTAAGTTTGTATGATAGGCTATCAAGTTTTGAATTTACCCTTTTTGTTGGATAATGCTTGCCGGACCTTTTTCTTGTGGACGGTCAGTCCGATCTCATCGGAGACATCTCGATGGAGACCCTAGCTTGCCTTCGAGAAGCGTCGGAGGAGGAGGCACCAGTGCAATGGAACTACCAGTGTAACATGGATGGTTACATGATGAAGCTCTGAAGTGCAGTGATTGAGCTCTTTGATGCCCGCTCTGCCAAATTTGGGCAAGTTTCTCTTCATTCGTTTACCATGATCTCTTTATTTTGGATCCTTCCAGAACATCAAGGAAGGAATGATTGTCTGGTCGCACTTAAGTGGATCTGACCGCGACACACAGTCCTGCAAAAACAGCGGAAGGCCATCAACGCGGAGGCAAGAGCAGGCAATGGTGTCGCTGTTCGGCAAGAAGAAGGAGGGAAGGACGCTGCGCCCGCGCGTGCGCCGTGCAACTCCTCTCATGGACATCGGTCTGGCAGTAATCCTGGGTGCCGTCACGGGTGTTTACATCTTCAAAGACACGATGCAGCGTTGGCAGATTTCTGAGGGCGAGTACGTGGCAGCGGAGGTCAGCAAGGCCAATCAAGCAGCACAGAATGCGCAGACTTCAGCGGCCCAGGATGCAACAAGGAATTAGATAAGTAGAAACGTCCTTAATGGCAGCAAAAACACTGTGCCAATCCGGTTTCCTGCTGTGTTAGAAAGGTTTAGCAAGACTCAAGTATCTCAGTGACTCATGCGATTGTACTGGGCGGCCTGCAACTCCTGCAGAGACGTAAGTCGTTAATATATAGGCGATAGGCAAAGTGCTGCGGTGGTCGTTGGCCTGCCAGCAGTGCCAGGTCAACGCTGGTATTAAAGCGTACAGACTGTACGGGACAGTGTTTGGCACCATAATTCACATGTCAGCGCTGGTGTGGTGCACCCCACGAAATGCAATTCCGGTTTTTAACCAATCAAGTATCTTTCTCTCATTTGGCTTTAGTAGGAACGCACACCAATATGAGTGACGTCGCGCAGATCCTGGGTCTTGCGGGGCCTAAGTCGGGTGCCAATGGAGCTGCAGCGAGTGACCTGGACCAGCTTAAGCCGTCAGGTGCGTCACCTTCCGTACGAGGAAAGTCGAGCGGCAATGCCAGCAAGCAGAAGAAGCTCACAGGCATGCAGCGGGAGGTACTGGAGCTGCTAGAGAGCAGTCACCGCGCCAGTCACGCGCTGTATCAAGGTTTCGGCAAAACAAGTCTGAAGCAAAAGTGGCAAGAACGCAAGAAGTCTCCTGCCGTCAAATGGATCCGTAAGTCCTTCCGGAATCCAGCGCGTGCGGCGCTAGCGGGCGAGAATGGGGAGGAAGGCCTGACGCTCACACACTGGGGGAAGGCCCACTTGGAGCAGCCCGACTACGTATTTGCCAGATTCAACGTTAAGAGTGAAGTTACCAGCTACACGGACAAGGAATATGAGGCAGCGCTAGCGCATCATCAAGACCCGATGATGAAGTGGAGCAAGGAGGAGATGGATCTGCTGATGAAACTCTGCCAACGCTTCGATCTGCGGTAAGCTGCAGCATTGTGCCTATAATGTGGCTACAAGGGCGTCTGAAAGATATATTGATGTTTTATGCAGGTGGGTCGTCATCTCGGACAAGTATAATTCCAACCCGATCGCTAAAGGCGCACCGAGATCTGTCGAGGATATTAAGTACTGCTACTACGAGGTGACGCGGCTGCTAGCTGAATACAGAGACAAAAAGGAACTGGAGAAGAAGGTTTCAGCTGCCACCCCAGCAGCCAGTGCTTCCACTCCAGTATCTCCTGCAGCGACCGGAGTAACGACTCCTGTTGCAACAATTACTGAGACTGCAAGTACTTCATCTACTCCAATCCCTGCAACGCCTACTTCTTCTACGTCCGAGCACTACAAATTCAACATCGCCTACGAGAAACAGCGCAAGAGACAGCTGGATCTCGCATTCTCTCGGACTGTTGAGGAGGAGAACGAGATTCGTCGTCTAAATGATGAGCTGCGAGGTGTGGAGCAGCAACTTAAGAAGGTGGCAGTTAGAGCAGATCTCAAGAAGAAGAAGGAGCTGGCTGATGTGCCTTACGAGATCAAGCGCACGCTTCCCACGGGTGTAATTCTACGGAGCTCGTTGCTAGCGCTTCCTCAGCAAAAACATGCGCTGAGTGCCAAGCTGTTGAAGAAGCTGCAGCTTCTGTTAGATGAGATGGGCGTGCCTGCCCGTCCAATGCCTACGAAGCCCGTGTGCGAAACATTTGACAAGCTGCGTCAAGACGCTGTGGGATTGCTATCACTGAGGAAGCACCTCAAGAGTAAACAGAACGAAGTTCAAGCGCTGCGTGAACGCTATCACGCGCTCACTGGCCAGGAGTACAAGCCAATCACGACTCCCGTCACTATGTCCGGTAAGATGTTCGCTCAAGTTACCTTCTCTAATAAACTCTCCGCTAACTTAACTGAGTGTAAGTAGAACGACCAGGAGATGCAGCGCTGGCCGACGGTAGTAACTCCGCTACTTCAGCGGCGAACTACACATTGACAGGTGCGAAATGTTGCTGTTCTACTGATCGTTTGATCCTTCTAATCGTATCGTGCTCATGTGGATACAGGCAAGACGTCAAAGCACTCGGAGAAGGCCATCCGCGCCGCCAAGCGACGCAGCTCAAGCGGTCATCCTGGTCTTCCGGCCAAACGCAACAAGAAAGTTCTCCGTTAATCCTCTGAATACCAAACTGAAGCTGACTTTGTGCTCATTCTTCTGTCTCGAAATCTGCAACGAATAACTTGAAACATTGTTCAATGTATCTACACCGCACTGCTCATCAAGTCTATCTATTCTACATTCGCCGATGATCATGCGTAGCTATTCCCTATCTGTTTTTATGGACAATATCACGTGCCCATGGGGGAGATCTTTCTTTTTTTTTTACTTTTTTTCATATTTTTTCATGGGGGCATTTTTCATCTTTTTCTCCTCTTCTCCCTCTTTTCTCAAGCCATGAGCTCTTGTTCTAGCTCTCTCTTGTTGACAGCGTCGCTTGCTAGTAGTACGGGTGGAAGCCACGTCCCCGACCTCCGCGGAATCCCCCACGGGGTGGACCACGGCCACGTCCTCGCCCCCGTCCTCGGCCACGACCTCCACGTCCACCACGGGACATGTTGAATCCACGTACGTTCTGCCGCTTGGGGGTGACCTTGAGCTGCCGGCCACGGAACATCGTGTCGTTCAGCAGTAGAGCGCTCTCCACGGCGTCGCGTGAGGCGAACTCAATGTACGCGTAGCCCTTGGGCTGGCCCGTGAACTTGTCGCACAGGATCGTCACGCGGTTGATGGTGCCGCACGACTGGAAGAGAGCCTGAAGCTCCTCGGGCGTGCTGCCGTAGTCTACCTGACCAATGTAAATGGACGTATCGTCCATCTGTGCCGGCTGTGCGTTGGCTGCAGCTCCTGCAGCTCCGCCGCTCATCTCGTTGAGGGTCGAGGCAGTGTTCTTGCCCATCTGGGACTCCACCTCGGACTGCATCTCGCTCAACTTGGCGGCTTCTTCCTCCATCTCCTTCACACGGCGCTTCATGTCTTCGATCTCGGCATCTACGGCCTCGGCAGACTCCTCAGGAGCCGCAGCGGTCTCTCCATCCGTCTTTGGAGCCTCCGACTCGCCCACAAGACTCGCCGCCTCCGCCTCCAGCTTGCTCACGTCCACCGCTTCGTCCGCCATCGCTACTTGTCTTGCTATTTGTATGTGCCAGCGATGGTAAAAAGTCTCCACTGGAAACCTCTGTAAATGAGTTCAGCATTATATTGTAGAAGGTTTTATGTTTAATTCATGTACTCGTGATGTTCTGTACACAACTAGTTCATGCACAACTTGGACGATGGAAGCGCCCGGTTCGCAGATCCAGGACCTGCTAGCGTCATGGGATGATGCTACGGCGCCTATAGACGCGCGTGTGAGAGAGGATCCGCTACTCTTCGCGCCGGTATCAGATATTGTCGCTAAGCGCCCCAAGAGTCCAGAATCTGAGGCCTGTAATGCTCTGTGTCGCCCGTGGGAACACAAGGACTTCCTATCGCGCGTCAGCAGCTTCTCCATCGTCTCTTGGTTCGCAAAGCCAGACGTGATCAGTGCACTCGAGTGTTCTCGATATGGATGGATAAACTCAGCTCCTGACCAACTGTATTGCAACTGGTAAGGGAGAAGGATAAAAAGGTGATAGAAAACCTTAATTCTGACACGTTTTGGTGCAGTTGCAAGCAGTTTTTGTGCTTCAAGATCGACGGCAAATTGAGCGATACTGGTGCGCTTAAAGTGGCTAAGATATTCGCTGGGCAGCTCGTAACGGGACATACTCAGCTCTGTCCGTGGCGAGGCAATCCGTCTCCAGAAGCTTTTATGACGGTGAGGACAATGGAGTTATAGGGCGAATGCAACAGTAATTTTTATTAACTGTGATTCTCTGTCTACAGCTTCCTATTGCGACTAAGCGCCAAGTGTACGAGACGTTTATGGATCGACTAGAAGGATTGGTGGCTCAAATGCACAAGAACGACGAGTTTCACAACCGAGTGAGAAGTATTCATGTCGTGGATGCCGTGACAGCCAAGATATTAAAAGAAGCAGATGCTACTGAAGACTCTGCAGCTACTCTTAGTACTGCAATGCTCGCATCAAAGCTGTCGGCGAGGATTCCACTGCTAAACGATGCTCCCGTCAGCTCTGAAGCGCTCGTTAACGCTGCTTTGCTGATCACGTGTGGGTGGCAATTTGATGGTAAGAGCGTGGAAATGCTATGGTGCGGATCTTGCAATCGACGGTGGCAAGCATCCCCAAAGACGGTCAGCAAGAGGAGCGATGAAGAAGGGAGTGAACCACCTGCAAAGCGCGTAAAGGCTGACTCATCGCAGCCCGTTGATCTGCTGTCACAGCATCGACACTTTTGTCCTTGGGTGGCTGGGCGTAAATCTACTGGAGTTGATGACTATGGCGAGATCGACCCGAAGCTGTGGGAGTTCATCAAGCTGCCGGGATGGAGGCAATATGCTCAGGTAATGTCATATGACCGAATTGCTTGAATGAATATTTAACCTAAAGGTTGTTTCTGGACAGTGTTTGAGTTTCCTAGGTAATCCGGAGGATCGAGCTGTCGTAGCTGGGACTTCTAACGACTCGCAAGAAGTGAAAGTGTGCGATCCAGTGGAAGCACTAGAGTCAGTACGAGCTGTACTGGGCCTTTAACGCAGTTGAAATCAAGGTTTGTGGCTAACAGTGAGCTCGAGAATGTCAGCATTGATATACGTATGAGAAGATGCGTGATTGTCGTTTCGACGGATGTTGTCTATTGATATGCTCATCATACTCACTTTTATCAGACCCAAAATATTCAGGGACTGGCAGAAGATGAGCGACGACGAACAGGTGTTGAGTGAAGATGACGGTGCTGATCTGTTTGAAAGTGACTCTGAAGATCAGGGCAGTGAA